GCAGTGACGTTGCTTTTCCTTTGGTGTGCGCTGCTGGGGGAGCCCCCAGGCTGAGCTGTCTGGCTGCAGGGCTTGTTTTACGCTGGAGCAAGACGGAGGCTGTTCTCCCCTCCCTGCTCCGCCTCGGCCAGTCTGCCAGGGTGGCTAGATCCAGGTGAAAGATAGAAATCACTTTGCTGCGCTGCTGCTTTTTCAGCTGGAGTCAGCAAGTATGGGACCGTGTGTTCCCACTTTAACTGAGGTCCCCTCAGCAGCTGCTGAGCTGTCATAAAACACCGCTTACATCCTGGGCCAGGCGTGACGGTGGGGCATAGCCATGAGTGGGGAAAGGTTTCCTCCAGGATATATTGGCAGTAAAAGGTTTCCTCTGGCTAGGGCGAGTCTAAAATCCCTCAGGTGGGATCCAGCTGCTCTGAGCTCCTGGGGAGGAGGTGGCCAGCTCCTGCCAGAGCAGCCCCATGCATGGGAGAGCATTGGAGGCAGCCGGGCGGCCTCTGCCTGTGCTGCACGAAGGCAGGAGCCGGCGTCTACCCAGCAGTGTCCTCGCTCCCTGTCCTCTCGGCCAGGCTATAAGGAGCCTGGAGGCCGCTTGCTCCCAGAACAGGTTCAGTTTGGGGTGGCCAGACTTTGCACTTCACAGAATGTGGAGGGGAGTTAAGTGTTGCTGAAGCAAGAGGAGCTCTGGGCTCGTTAGCCACGGCCCTGGGAGATGGGATTTAATCTATGGGCAAGCAGGAGGGTGGGAAGCTGTGTTCCCTGCCGGCCCCCATACTGAGTCTCTCTCTCTGTGTTCCAGCTGTGGAAGAGGAGCGGTGTGAGCATGTCCCCGCCGTCCAGCCCAGCATCCTCCCGCCCCCAGACACCCGAGTGGCCTCTCAAAAGAGCCAGGTAACTAGCCACTCACCCGGTGAGTGCCTGCTCGTCCATGCCAGCCGGGAAGAGAGCAGTCGCCTTCCCAGCCATCCCGGTGCCTGAGTCCCGCTCTCCACCAGAGCCAGCACAGTCCAAGCCCCTTCCTGAGACATGGCTGCTGGGTGTGGAAGCCCCCTTGGTGTGTCAGTTGGTGTTCCTACCACCCTGTTGCACTGCGTTCCCAGCTCAGTGCTGAGCTGCACCATCCCTGCCCTGCTCCTGGGCTGGGTTAGAGATTTAAGGGCTCAGATTGCTGCAGAGACGATGTTGCTTTGTGGCACTGCCATGGCCTGGGTTGCTGGTTGCTGAAATGTTGGGAAGAGACAGGCCCCAGTTTTTGCCATCTCCTCAAAATACTTTCACAGGAGTTACAGTAGGGTTGTATTTTACCTCCTGCCTTGGAGCACAGGCCCCTCTTCTCCTCTCTCCTGGCTCAGAGAAGGACCTGAGCTTATGTCAGAACTAAAACTGCCACAACCGCCTGCTCTGGCGACAGGGTGGGTCCAAGCCAGGGACCTGCAGGGTCCGGGACCCCCGGCTGCTGCCCTGAGGCTGATTTGTCCTGCCGAGGGTGTGCAAGCTTGGCAGCCTGACTGAGCTGGGGTCCCGGTGAGGGGACCAGCTCCTCACCTGGAGCCATGTTCAGGCTGGTGCAGTGGGGACGTGGCCATTGTCCTGAGGTCTGTTGTTTGACAGAGGCAAAGAAACACACCAGGGATGCTGGTGGGAGTCCTTAGTGTGTTCGGTCTCATCCTGCTCCCTGGGGACAGGGCCAGGCCTGGGAGTGACCCTAACTGACTCTCTCCCACTTGCACAGGGAAGAGGAGTTCCATCGCTCCAACGCTTCCACTCCAGTGAAATCAGACAAGGAGCTGCAGACAGAGAAAGGTGAGCGTCGGTGGGCCCCAGCTCTGTGCCACCGGTGCGAGCAGGGACAGGAGGCCGCTGAAGGCTGCAGATGGAATTGGCTTGAGATGTCACCTGGGAACTAGGAACACGCTGGTTCCAAGGCAGTGGCTCTTCTGCTGGCCTCAGCAACTGCCCTAAAGGGATTTCTGGGTGACAAGCACGGGGTGCTGGCAGTGTCGGGGTGCCGGCAGACGCTGGGGAGCTGCCTTGCGAGGGAGAGCAGCAGCTCCCATCCAGCACTGGTGCAGGTGTCAGCCTTGGGGCTGTGGTATGAGTAGCACCTTGAGCAAATTCCAGGCTGCGCTTATTCCAACGCTTCTTCAGCTAAAATGGAGAGGAAATCCTTTGTGCCTGTTGCAGTTAGAGTGCTGTGGCACAGCGCTAGATGTGGCTCACACGGTTTGCGTGGTTTGTGGTTTGGGTAGGCGCTGGGCAAGGACCATGGAGGTGGGATGGGGCTGCTGCCCTGCAGAGCCCCAGTGGGCTCTTGTAACAGACTGCCTTGGGTGTGTCGGAGCCAGCTGCTCTTCCAGGGCATTGCAGCTTTGTCCTTGGGTTAAAACCGTGCCCCTGGCTCTGCCCTCTGAGATGGGTCACCCAGCGAGGAGTCAGAAGGGACAACCCCCTGCGTACAAGCCAGATGCTTCCTCTGCCCAGAGCTGGTCCTGACTTATCTCCTTCTGTAGTGGTGGAGACGCCGGTGCAGAAGAAGCAGAATTCCCTGAGCCCGCCGTCTGCGTTGGGGAGCAGCGGGAAGCGCAAGCGGAAGATCCCGTTGCTGACGTCTCAGCCAGGGGACCAGCTGACGCTGGTACGTCGCTGTCTGTCGCAGCCCCTTTTGCCCTCCTCTGGTGATAGAATGTGCTCACTGCAATTTCTGCAGGGCTGGGGGGAGACTGACCTGCCTGCCCTCAGGAAGGAGGCCCCGTCCTTGGCCGAGTGGGAAGTGACGCTATCCCCAGCCCCAGTGTCTGGTGGGCTGTGCGTGATTGTGCTGCCTGCTGCCGGACCAGGTAATGGCCTGGGGAAGGCTGCCGTGCCCTCAGCGCCAAGCCGGGGGCCAAAACGAATGGGGATCGGAGCTCCGCGGTAGCGTGCTGTGGCAGAACCAACCTGCTTCGCCGGGTCTTGCGACAGCCAGCCTTCACCACCATGTTCAGAGAGGCTCTGCCGGCTTCCCTGAGAAGGAGCTAAGCTGCTGCTCTCTCTTGGCAGCCCCCACCGCCTCAGCTGGGCTACTCCATCACATCGGAGGACCTGGACGCGGAGAAGAAGGCAATGTTGCAGTGGTTCAACAAAGTCTTGGAGGATAAGACTGGTAAGGATGGACTGTGACAGCGGAGGGGGGAGCAAGGAATAGAAACTCAGGGCCCGGGCTGGCGGGGCAGTGGGGTGTCCGTGTAGCACTGTCTGGGGAAGCTCCTGGGCGGGTCCTGCATGGTCGTCGTGTCTGGGGATGCTCTTAGGGCCTTCACGCTCAGGAGAGCTCATGCTCCAGTCCCCAGGGTGATGGATGAGGCTCTCCAAGGGCTGTGGGATGGTCGTGCAGTTTCCCTGCCTGCCAGGGAAGCTCTGCTAAGGGTTAGTCCCCCACAATGAGTTATGGGTCCTCATTTCTTGCATCTTCTCAATAGATGCGGTTCCCAGCACCACTGCAGAGACCTCCCCGGGGTCTGTGCCTGCCTCGACAGCTCCTGCCCCAGCCAGCACCAGCTCACTCCAGGACAG